GCAAGTGCTTTCCAACTGTGAGGAAAAGGCATATTATATACACCATTTTATCACGTCTATTTTGAAACAGCACCACCAACGTCTACAACTTTTTACTGGGGGACTTTTAGCAGCCTAGCTGAGCAAATTTTGTTTTTCCAAACATCTTCTTTTGAGTACTACTTCGACAACCAAAAAACTGCATGTTTTATGCACCTCTATTTTCTTTTTATTTTTTTGTTTTGGCATTTTGTTTTTTAAAAAAATAGCCTAGGCCTCTAAAACAAGGTCGCCCACCAGTAACAGAGCACAGATAAACACTGGTAAGCTACGAAGAGCAAATGCTTAGGCCTCTGGAAGTCCCCCAGTGATAGTTGCCAGGTTCTCAGAATTTCCATTTCAAATTTAGCGAAAATGGTACATACATGACCACTATTATAATCAGAAATGGCTAAATATATTTGTTTTTTCGGCATGATTCGTGGTCCGAATGTCAGCGCCTTGAGACGATCTTATTGTGGAAGGTGTTCTACAAAATATATACTACTGTACCATTACCATACAGAATTGTTTTATTTTATTTATAAGTCATGAAATGCTTGCATTTAATGTTGAAAAGTGAACCTTTTCAAAGCTAGCTGCAGGGTTTTGCATGAGGCTATACAATTTATAGCTCCATGATCTAAGGATCACTGGCCGAGTCATGTGGTTCCAAGAGTCATATGACTCGCACTCCCAACCACAAGGTTAAGAACTAGAATGGAAACGGCTGCACCAAATTACTTCCCTGATGTTTCACAATCTATGAGTGTGGTATTGTTCTATTTACCATGATGATGGTAATAATATAGCACTGAGAGTTTTCTGATGTCCCATATAACTCACATCATGATCGTGTCGGAAAATAACAAGAACATTAATAATGCATTTGACAAATTTATATTGTAATTGCTCCAGGCACAGAGAGTTCCTTTCCCTACTAAAAGCATATGATATATTTCTGAGACTGTAGAATAATTGTCTGCATGGGGCTCAGGTAGGTAATGTCAGAAAATTAGATGCAAACTTTTATATAATATATTTTTTGGTTTGTAAAAAGGGTATTTTGAGCATGGAAGAACGAGTGGCTATGGGTAGTAAAAAAAGGCCATTCGGATAGAAATCTGTCCAATGAGAAACATGCTTTTATAAGATAAATCATTTTATGTTTAAACATGTTTATTAAATTAGGCCTAAAACATGAATTTCACACCTATCACATTTTCCTAAAATGCTTCCTACTTTTAACTTCCTCAATTTCTCCTTGTACATTCAAATATCTTTACAAATTAAACCTGTGATAGCAACTGAATTGTCAATGGTTTTCCTGCACAAGGTGGCAGAAATCCACTCACTTTATACAACTGGCCTAAAAATGTCTGTTCATTTTACATTTATGTATTTTTGACCAATGCACATTTACAATAGAAGTGGTTTGGCACAGCGGGAATGGTTTGGTTTCCCAACCTACAGGTGGGGGTTTCAATCCCTTGCTGTGAATTTCACTTGTGTCCTTGGGAAAGGCACTTTATCTGCATTGCTTCTCTCCACCCAGGAGTATAAATGGGTACCTGGTAGGGTTAAATGCGATGTAGCTGCTGCAATGTTATGGAATACTCATTTATTTTAATTTTCATAAATGAATGAATGAAAGGGGAGGCTTAAGCAAAGTTTTACAATAATTCATTAAAAGTCAGATGTATAGGTATTTCAAGATCAACATTTTTATATTTTTCTCTGCATGATGACAAAAGTAAAAATATAGCCCTGGATGATAGTGTGGTTATGGTGAAAAATACATAACTTTATAACTATGATAATAGTGGGACATTGGTAATATTGTGACTGATAATTCGTAGATCACATCACAAACCAACGCAATCAAAGTAGATTGTGTTAGTTTTTGAAATCACAGTAGCTTTTTTGGTTTCACGAACTAAAACAATCTAATTTGATTGTGTTAGTTTGTAATGTGAGCGACGAATTATATGATGTGATTCAGTGAAAACAGTGTAAAGATGGTTATAATATAACACTGCTAATAGCATAGCAAATAATTGTAAATAATGGGATATCAACGACCCTACTCTGTGATGCATATTTCATTGGCTTTCTTTGTACTTTTACTTGTTGTACTTTTAGTTTATTTGGTTGGTGATGTTGTACCACAAGCAAAAACAATTTCTATGTCTCTGACAATGATAAAAAAAAATATATCTGTATAAGGATAGGTAATCATACACTGATAATAGCGCAATAATATAACACTGTGGTAATAATGTGATCTTTCAAAACATTATCATGCATTTACTGATAATGACTATTACACTCCAATCATGAGGATATTGATGATTATGAGAAGGGAAAATACTGGCAATTTGTTTTTTATGATAATGGTAGCACTATTACATTGTCTGTTTGCCATAAACATTATGTTGACATCACAGTAAAATCCATTTGTTACAATTACAACATGGAGCATAATCTGCAGCAATCTATAACAGTTGCTGGTCCCAAGCTGCTAGTGTAAATGTATCCATGAGTTACCATTATCACCCTCCCTAATAATTCACCCAAGCACGTAAATGGATGCTTAGTTGGACTCTTGCATCTTAAGCACTTACCTTGGCCATGGCCTGTTATTATACCCTGGGGAGATTTGGCCATGGCTGATTACACACCCCAGGGAAGCAAATGTGACGCACGCTGAAGCGAGTCTATAAATTAGCAAAGTGTGTGTTATAGTCTTGACATCGTAATGGTTTCAACTGGCAAGATACAGTTGGATGAACCATCCTCAAAAATAGAAATAGATTATTGCATAGTGATAACATACACAAAATAAATAAATATTATGCAATTACTGTACGCACAATTATATCATTTTATATAAATTTGTAAATAAAAATCATGATATTAAACTACTAATATTGTACATACTCTTCGAATATTTCTATCATATTTCACACTATAGGCCCTACTGCACTTTGATTTTTTGACTGGGGTTAATGGAAAGAACAAAGTTTTCAGTATTATCATCGCCACTGCTGCAGCCATCCTTGTTGTTCATCATTATAATCATTAATGTTTATCATCATCCAATATTATTATCATCAACATTATTATGATCATGATGATAATAAGCCATAAAGAAAAATATATTTGCAAACAGACATTTTGAAAAACAGTGTGACATTTTTTAAGTATCATTTTTATTGAAATTTGTTTTAATAAGAGCAACCATAAGTTGTTTTTAAATCTTTTAATAGACTAATATCATTTTATCAGTTGAAGTGCACACAAGCCAAATGCGTACACTGGGCCTACGGTGTAAAGTACTTTCGGAGAAGACTTGTTCCACCACTGGAACCATTGGCGAGTGAGCCGTTCAAACCAGCGCCGATATTAGAGCTGAAGTTTACGGTGCCCCTGACTTAACTGCTCAGCCAATCAACTCGCTATTTTTGTAGATGCAGTTACATATTGAAAATAGTCAATTTAATGTTGTAGATAACTTGACACTTTCATAAGTATAATAAAGTCAACCTTTTTGTGCAACCATTCTTTTTTTTTTTGTAAATAAATATCAGTAATTCGGGGCATGTGTTAGTTAACACAAACTTACAACTTGGACAATTCCAAATAATTACAATCATAGAAAATGTGTGTCACTATCAATGTTATATGAAATTATCTACGTAAATAATATAATATTCTGCCATATTAGTGATTTCATATATTTTGTCCCATAAAAGATAACATTAAAATAAAACAAAAATATTTGTGTGTGGTTTGGGGGGGGGGGGAGATTCAATGTAGAAGCAGGTCTATACGTATTTAAAAATTATATTGCTTTCCATCAGCTGCAATTGCCTACTGCTGCGAAATGTTTTCTTGCAATGGAATTTTAAAGTAAACATTAGGAGCTTAAATTTACTAAACATAGAGGGCAGCAAAACAATTTGACAAAGAAATTAAGTAGTGAACTTATAAAAAATAATAAAGTAATAATGATATAGAAATATAAATAGATATATAATATTTTCATGAGTTCAAAGATGGAATTTTTTCTACAAGTCTTAATAGTCTTTCATCTTATAAATGAGCGAAAATTTTATTTTTTTTATAGTATTTATTTTCAATGTTGGTTATATACAGTATAAACCAGCACAGAAATAAACAATTGAAAATATAAAATTATGATTAACCTAAATAACCAAAATACTCAACTACAGCTTCATTATCATTATGGATTAGCTATAGCATAGATCAATCACACATTGTCTGGACTAAAATCAGCTATTGCATTGATTATCACAGAAATTAATGTTTCTCTCTTTCATCTTATAAATTAGAAAACATTTTTTTTTTTATATTATTCATTTTCAATGTTGATTATATATAAACCAGCCCAGAAATAAACAATTGAAAATATAAAATTCAGACACTTTGAAAATGATGATTAACCAAAATAAAAAATGAATGCAGTATCATATTTCTTAAAACAATTTTTCAAAAAAGTTTCTGGACATAGAGGGCAGCAGACAGATAATTATACATGAAGTCTAGGTATAAAGGGTAAGTAGTTCATGTACTAGTTTGTACTCAACTACAGCTTCATCTTCACTATGGAATAAGTATAGCATTGATCAGTCACACATTGTCTAGACTAAAATGAGCTATTGCATTGATTATTACAGAAATTAATGTTTGACACACTCAGGGGTCCCAATTCGCCTGATTATCGGTGACAGGCCAATAGAATTGCTAGTAGAAACAACCTATTGCGCACACATCGTCCAAATGCTTTCTCTATGGAATTCCGTTGGAATCGCGAACTGTGTTCTAGCTTCCTGAATTGCCTATTTCTTAGTCTTTTTTACAAGACTCGATTATAATGTTTAGCAATATATATCATATATGACTGTTTGTACTGAAAAAGAGAATGCAGTTGGCAAATAAATGAAGTGAATAACGTTTACCTGAAGTAGACAGATCAGAGGATGGATGGCACCTTGCTTGATTAGTATTTCTCTGAACTCTGGTCCATCGCCAGCAATGTTTCCCAGAGCCCAACAACATTGATCCTACATGGAATTATACAGGGATTTTTTTTATTCTTTGAACATTTAAAATTATTTCTTTGTTTTCAGCCTCCTTTCCCAGTACCCCAACCACTTGCATCACTTTCCAGAAAAACAATCTTACCTTCAACTATTCCTGTCACAAACAACAAATATTTTTTAATAAAACCACAATGGACAATTCTGCTTTGCCATGCCCTTAACTACTGTTGTTAAGGTACCACAAAACGACATTAATTTGACATTGCGAAGTGTGGGCATGCTCATATTCCTGGCCCTGCCTATTGAATAAAACATTCTAATTGGTCAGTTAATAATGTTAAGGTCTGTCCACACTACCATTTTTATGTGACAAATCTATATGATGTACCCATATATGGGCATGATGTCATATTACACCCATATATGGACACATCACTGATATATGTCACATTAAATTTGATAGTGTGGACCTAACTTGATGATTGACTGACATTTCAGAAAGGTCCATTGTAAACATACCTGTAGAGGTGCATTGTGTCCCTGTAGGAATGTGATGAGGTAGGGTGCAGCATGTTTCAGAGCAAGGGAACTGTGGTGCTGGTTGCCTGCAGCAAGGTTGGTTATGCACCATGAAGCTTCGAGTTGTAGGCCTGGGTCATCACCAGTGAGCAAACCAATTAAACTATGGAGAGCGCCATTGACACTGAAAGAAATATAAGGAGACACTTGATTAAAAATCAAACCAGTGATTCTGCTAATATTTATCTGAAAAAAGTAGGCTCCTACTACAGTATATAATGGTAGCCCCGATGTCTTCATCATAATTACCTGGGGAGGGTTCCCGTGGGTCACACTAGAATGGACAGCTCAGGTTGTTTTCGATTTTTAATGATCACTAGATGGAATTCTGGTTCACTGGACTAGTGGGGGAAAAAACAACAACAATAAATAAAACTGTAGATGTAAAGTAACCATAGAGGGCTCACTACAGTTTTTTTAATCAATGAAGTCACAGTAAACTTACCTTAGAAATATATCAATGTTTACCATATCCTCAGCAAATGCATTCTTCAATTGTTTAAGCAAACTGAGACAATCATTACTTTCTTCTTGAATTAATTTTCCAATATCTTCCACCTGCAAAACAAATTCTGCTAGTTGGATTTGTTGAGCATACATTGACGTATACATTTTAAAAATAAACATAACTAACCTACCGTGTATAGATCATTAAAACTTAAAACACAAAATATGCATTAAATATAGAAAATACAAAAACATTTTTAAGATTGGTGACACTGTACATTTGTAAAATAATCCATTATAGTGAAAAAAAATATCATTAAAATTAATAAAACATAAAACATAAATACTATACAGTATTATTGTTTGATTATAGCAATCATGAATTGGCAATGTAAGTAAATTGCCAAATGAAACCTGCAATATAATAATTATTGATAAAGCAAACTAAATAAAATACAACAGAAAAAGTAAATTAATACTGTGTTAGGTCAATAAGAATTGGTTTTTTAATATTCATAAAATATACTTAAATAATCTGATTTACAAGTAACAAAAGTAGAATAATAAATAATGAATTGATAAAAGTTATTAAAAATATAACACCATACTAATGTGATAAATATTAATATAAACTTTTTTGATAATAAGCATATGAAATTAACAACTCAATATTTTTTCAGATCACTAATAAAGCAATATATAAAATTATACAAAAATATACAGTAAATAAAAGTAATAACAGTTATTTTTGATTTATCTAAATACTTTACAATAACAATTATTGGGAAAAGTTTAACCTTGCCTGGTGGTTGGTTGTATTGTTGCATTACCTGTTTTACTGTAAAACTGGAATCTACCAAGGCTAAGTCTTCTTCACTATGGCGAGCACGCTTACAGAGGACCAATTTCTCTCTCTTCTGTTTCCGTAACACTACATAGAAAACAAAGCATTGCTAATAATAAATTTTAGGCAGTGACAGTTAATTTAGTCAGTATATTACACAGTGTTCACAGAGCATTTTTGTGATGTTTAGTGAGGGCGCACTCCATTCCATTCCAAGAAGCCTAGGCTAGCCTAATGGTTCGAGTGATAGTTGCCGAAAAGAATCCCACCGCCCGTTAGGCGCACGTGTGTTTTCATAAAAATCATGCGACCCGGCCTAGCTTACTGGCTACCGAAATAGCAGTCCTAGTTAATACTGGCATGGCTAATTGTTTGAGATCTAGTTATCATTAAATTACACACCAGTTTCTTCTTCCCTCTTCTTCTCTCTTAGTTCAGTAACATCGCTTGCTGTATGTTTGTAGAATGTTTTGCGATCCATTGATACGGAAAATCCCGTACTAGTGTTATTGCATTACAGCTCACGCCTACAGTAATTCGCGTCACGTCAACATGCGTTAACTAGACTGTGTTAATCAATTAACTGTAACAGAAAGTTTCATTTATATTTTTGAAGGAACATTTCAAGGCGTATAAGGACGACGTATGTAAAACCATAGAAACGTTTTGATATTTGTTATACTCTATATTGTATCTAGATGTGTTTTTTATGATGAGTTAAAATAACTTTGGTTGATAAAGCTAGCTGCCCCTGGCCAATATTTGTTGCCTGCATATTGTCTAATGAGCATTGTCGAACGAGATAAATTAAACGAAATGAATGAATTTGTTACATTTCTTGGACACGTGTATAACCAAAGTATAAATGTTAGGCCTATTTACTTCTTTCCATTCGACGTTTTTGTAAAATTAGACAATCGTTTTGAAATACTATGCATATTTTTTTGGTTTCCGGAAGAGACTTTTTTTTAAATTAATACCTTGTTTAGAAAAATTATAAACCTAAGATCATCAGAGCACTATTGTCAGAAATTTAAAAAATGGTGTTTTATTCATTTAGCAAAACGATTTTGCCAAAGCAGGCAAAAGAGAAAATAAAAAGACTGTAAAATTTCATTGATGAATGTAAACAGTGTAGTAATATAAATGTAGTAATGAGATTAATAAATGCTTTAAATTTATATAATTTTGAAATAAAGAAATAGGGATATATATATATTTTATTTTTGAATAATTTTAAACATTTTTTTTTTTCTGAAATTTCCATTTTTTATGGCAAGTCAAAAAATAACATTTTATTTTTATTGCAAATCACGATTATTAATTGGCAATCGGAAGGTTCGCTAAACAACGGATAAAAGAAGTCTCGCCTTGAGGAGTTTTGCTTCTATTTTTAGTGACACGTGCGATATCTGTTGACATTGAATTTCTTCTTTTGACGCGAGTTGACGCAATGTGAGTATTTGGCGTTCCATGGTACCTGTACTGTATGTACCGTATTTGGAAGTTGTTATTTCGCTGATGCCCGCGTCGCATATTAGTGTATACACGAAGAAAACATGGCAAGAACTTACTACTGTGATTACTGTCAGAGATCATTTACCGATAATGCACAGAATAGGAAGAAACATATTAATGGTGTACAGCATAAACGCATGATGAAACTTCATTATGACTCTTTTAAAGGTAATTCAACAACAAGAGGCCTAGGCTAGGCTATAGGCCTATAGGCCTAGGCCAAGATAGTAAAAGGCAAAGCTGGGTCTCAGTCTGAGTCATCTGACCGGAGAGGAGTGAGTTTGGCAAGTACTTTGATTAGCCTAGCCTAGCCTACGTTCGCCTTATTTACTATAGGTCACTTTTAGGCTTCGGCCTACTTACTAGGCCTGATTGTATCTTTGACTTTTAATGGATATTTCGCAAATCCTTATTCAGGAGACATTCGAATGGGATATCCTCAGTCTTAGCACAACACTTTTAAAATAGGCCTACTGGGGCCTAGACCTAGTAATAGTGACAATAATAAAAGTATCTTGTACAGTATCTTGTATAGGCTAGGCTAGCTAGGTCTAGTCTAGTACTAGGGGCCTAGGCTATGCTTATTATGCCTAGAACAACTTCATAAATGATAATAATAATAGATGGATTTATATAGCACAAATAAACGAGGTCTCTATGCACGGGACTAGATGTTGCACTTTTCAATAACTTTCTCCTCCCCTGAGTGTCACTTCATGTCCTCTGTAGCCAGTAAACCAGTGCACTTCCATCTGTTCACGACAGGGGCCGAGTTAACCAGTACACCGGGGTAGCCCCCTACTCATCTCGAAAGATGTACTGGGTTCTTTAAAGTGAGCATTTGTGTACACTGGGCCTATGGTTTATAGTCCTTATCCAAGAAGACTTGTTCCACCACCAGAATTATAGGAGTGAGCCGGCCGCGAACCCATATTGTTAGTGATATTGTTGGCTATGATCACGGTGCTTCTGCTTTAACCACTCGGCCATTTTGCTCGCTCAAATGACCACAGTATTTAATCATAATTTGATTTCATTAATTAAATAGATCCCGAGACAATTCTTGCAGAAGAGTCCGCCAAGAAACCATGCAGAAAATTCCAGCAAGCAGGTACTAACCGCAAATTTTTCTATGAATTCTTATAAAAACAAACTATTTTCATGTAAATTACTAGGCACATAATAATATTTTGATCACCTTGGCTATGTTCGATTGCATATTGTGTCTTGTTTTTTAAGGAATCCTTACATTGCATTTTGCAGGACACTGTGATTTTCATCCTAACTGTCGATTTGCCCATTTAAATGAAGAACGATTAAAGGAGCTCAACAGACGTAAGTATTTCTTGCTAAGTGTTACGTTCGTCTAGTGGTGCTATGATAAGTTTAACTGTAAATAAAGTAAGCTAAAATCCAACGATGTTTTCTTCAATTCAAAAGCACATTTCTCTTCTATTCCATCCCCCCTCTGTCTGCCACTGAATTTGGATATTTTTATGTCGAAGTTCATGGCTTAAAGTATATAAATGTATTTTTTCATCCACCAGAAATTCAAGAAAAACGTGAATATGAAGAAGCTGAAAAAAGGAGAATGCAAAATGAAAAGAGGAAAATGGATGCCAACGAACCGAATATAGATCAATGGTTGGCAAAACGAAAGAAAAGAAAGGGAGAACAGACAGCACATAATTCTGCAGTGAAACCTAGTTTGAAAGAGGACTCCGTCATAGAAGAAGAAAGCAATGAAAAGCTGACAGCTGCTTGGTCATTACCTCCATCCTTGCAAGGGGTCCCTAACTTGCCGCCATCTATGATACCTCCAACACTTGAAGATGTGTTAGACTCAGGGGAAGTTCAATGGGGATGAATATGCAGCTGCTCCAAACCTTGGAACTCAGAATTCTGGAGTGTGCACACGTACACCCAGAAATATTGTAATTCTTGAAGATTTTTCATGAATGCACGTAAATACTTAATTAGTAACTGGGACCAAAAAAAAAAATAATAATTCGCCATTTTTGGTTCCTATGCTTTCAAGCAAAGGAACCTTTAGGATACCCTTCGTGTGTATGTATGTGACATGCATGTTACACTGTTTTTTTGTAAACAGGAAAAGTGACTTTCCAGATATCTGTCCATTTCGAACGACCGTACCCAAGCAAAACCGGATATAACATCGTGCCCTATTTAATAATTTTCGATTTTGACAAATATTAAAGCCATAACTAATGAAAGACAATACCCCATACCCTTGAAAAGGCTAGTAAACTGTATGATAAAAGGAAAAAATTTATGAAATGTTGTTTACTTTTGCTGTCCAACTGTCTTACATGTGATGGATTGGACTCCATGGGCTTTTCTGGGTAATATGAACAAAAAACTTTATATACACTCCAAAAATTTTTTTACCTGATACTGTGGTTTGGATAAGGTTCTACAGACACAGCATAGAATTGTGTTGTGGTTTGATAAAAAACAAACTTGATACATGACAGGATAATCCATTTGCAGCTTCTATCAGAAGCTAGACTGTGTGTACAGTACGGTATAGTGAGACTATTGTTGGCTCCGACCCATAGTTGATGTAGAGGCCCCCACCCCACCCATAAAAAAGAGCTCGTTGGGCAGTTGGACTAAAAAAAATATAAGAATAGGCCCATGCCAAGCCAACACATGTCTGTCACAGTCTGTGTGTCATTTCTGGCCATCCAGAGGTTCCTATTCTTAAAATAGTCTCATTTGGAAGGGGAACACCTTCACAAAATCTTCCACAAGCTCCGGCCCACGAGCTATAATCCTCCTGTTGTACAGCTCGGCCCCCAGAAAATATATCCTACAGCCGCCACAGCTACTACACCTTTTTATCATTGGCACTAAACAAGCAGAACAAAAAAAAACCTGATGCCAGGATTAATAAAATAATAATAATTTTGGCTTAAATAGCGCATTATGCTAAAGCCTTGATGCGCTTAACAATAAAAAAGAAACTGCCGGGTTAACACTTGAGGTCTCCCTGGTTTCGTTTGTTGACATGTTTACATTACCGCAAATATAGTAGTGCAATATTTCACGAATGCCCGCATAAGAACCTTGGCTCTCGCAGGTCTGGCATGGTGTCTTGTTCTTTTCTGAAAATTTTGGAGAATATGACAAAAATTCAGGAGACCCCAATTGAATCAGGTAAACATTTGAGGATGAGAGTTGAACATAAACAAGCAATGTTACTTCCAATATTCCAGTAAGTGGAAGTAGTTGAGAATAGATCTTTAGGAATAGTAGGATGCAAGAGATTTGTATTCAGGATGGGTTTTCAAGATGTATAGATTTGTATTCAAGATGTGGGTATTGGTAGTATCCAGGTAGCTCCCATATCTACTGGGAGGGGATGGAAAGCAAATCACCCCCCCCCCCCACCCTGAAACCCCACTAGAAATTTGCTTAGCAAACATTCTCTCAAGCTTTTTTGAACAGTCATCCATCCTACCAGGTAAATAGGTAGTTTATTCATAGACTTTGTATGTGTTGATAATCAAATAAATGCAAACAAATATTTTGGTTTCAGAACATGCATCTTTTTATTTCATTCAGACTCAATTTTTGTACAAATACATTAATTCTACTTTACATGCAAATACAGTAGCAAGATTTCAGTATCAAATTCCTGAAATGCTTTTTATTCTAAATACAAAAAATACATGAAAAACAAATCATATTCACAGTCCAGGTTATAGATTAAATGAAACTTATGATGTCACAAGAGCTTATAATTTTGTTTTATACTATCACATATTATGTGTCAATTTTGCGGCAGATTTGCCCATATGAGGCATGGCATGGCAAAAGGAATGGCCTAGAGATCAACAGTTTAAAATATTATTTAAGCATGTTCTAAAGTCTTCTGGAAACATTCAACAAACTAGTTAATTCTACTAAAAATGTATGCATGGATAACTTTGGAAGGCAATAATCAAAACCATATCATCTTTACTCGAGGAGTGCTGTACTTGTAAAAAAAGGTTTCATATGTCCAACTTCAAAGAATGACCCCTCATTTTAAAGATCACATACTCAAGTAACTAAAAATATCAATAACTTGTATTTAAATTTTTGCCATGTGCAACATGCCTCATATATAGGCATAATGTAATATTACACATGTATATAGGTAAATCGCCCATAAAAGGTGATGTGGACGAATATCATTTAGTACACTTTTAGATTGAGATAATCTAAAACCAAATGAGTGGACTTGACCTTGACAATTTTAGGTACCGGTCAAAAAAACTGTCACACACGAGTTGAAAGCTCTGTCCAGGTTATCAAATTTTCTTATAAAGTAAACTGTTGTCTGCCCATATATGTGCATGATGTGATGATGTCATGACCATATTTAGGCATGTCACATGTTTTTGTCAAATAAAATTTGACAGTCTGGACAGGGCTTTAGATTTTTGTTGTTATGAACATAATGTGAACAGAGCTTTATTGGTGAACTTGCAAATCTAGCATCTGTGGCAAGAGTGTTCTTACAACTTGGTTTGCCAAAACATACAAAGTGCAAATGTTTGACTTTGTATTCATTCCATCAACCAATCAAAGTCATTTATTTAGCTCCAGCTTCTAGGATGCCAAATTGACAACATTTATACAGAAAATTTTCTGGAGCAGAATTTTATCACTATATTCTGAAAAATGTCTTGCTAAGAAAAAAAATTATAAAGAAAAAGAACATCCACACAAACAATTATATATTTTAAATTATGATTAATACTGTTCTCATTTGTTTAGATATGGATTTAATTTTATATTCCTACATATGATGCCTGTTTTTTCATTAAATCCAACTACATCACATTGTAGCAAATAATTTAATTGAAACAAATTATATGAAATTTTACAGGACTTCTCTATGAAATTAGTTACGGAAATACAAATTTTGTTGTTTAAAAAAAGATATGAAAACCAACAAACTTAAATATATATGTAAACTTAACAAGGGAGTAACAGTGAATAAAGAAACACATCAACATGAATTTCAAAAAACATGAACAAAATACCTCACAAATATTACATGTATATATAGATTGTTTATATAATAAACAATTAAGAATACAATCTAATGATGTTGCTAGAAGTACAAAATATTTGGTAGATATTATTTGCTTTGTAGGTGGTTAAATATCTAGCACAAGCTAACAGGGGGTACTAGAAGTCACTGACAAAGATACTTAAATAAAATATGGAATGGTCAGATTTTTTTTTGTAGATTTGTGGTAAATTCCAGGAAAAATAAAATGGTGTTGTAGTCAGCTGTTTAGACCAGTGATGGAGTCAACGGGGAAGGTGGGATATGGTGGAAAGCATGGACTCCTACCGTCCTGGCTCTAGGTCGTCCCTTACTTCAGACCCCCTTGTCGGACTTGCTGAATCCCTGTCAGCCACAAGGGCTTCAGTCGTTGTTGGGCAACTTTTCCCTCCAGAATTTATTTTCTAGATTCACCGCTGCCCAAGGCTGGGCAGATGAGACTGAAGACAGTGGGAAGTTTAGGAATTCAAAGATTGTACATATAATTTGAGCCAAATTAAAGAATACAATACCACTGTATCAGACCTATCTGCGCAGACAGAGAGTATGCTTGTCATGGAGAATATCGGTAGTTTTTCAGATGGTGGGAAATTTCTAAAGAGTAGCAACATTCGTCCTCGTCCATAGGTTACATATGTACAAATGGGATTGACATACGTGGAATGGAAGACATGAAAAATTGTCATGAAGAAAGACATGTCTGTCAAATGAAATAATAACAACAATAATAATAATAATAATAATAATATTTATAATATTTATCCACTGCAGTAGTGCTCAAGGCACTAAAAATAACAGGACCATAAAAAGCGACTGGCTAGCAGGTGGCTAGATGAAAAGTATTGCAGTCTAAATGCTAAGAAAGAGTTTTGCTGTAGAGACCACCCTTACAGGCTTAAATAGTCAACTACTTTTGATTATGGCTTGTCTCTAAACTAATTCCTCCATGTCTACAGCAAATGAAAGAAGATTTCCATTGATAAACCATGGAGGAATTAGTTTACACTAATTAGTTCTAAATAAACATATCCAATATATTACTGTTGATTATGAGCTAAATGGAGTACTATTGTTTGTTCCCCTACATATTATGCATAAATAATTGTAACACACTTGGGACAGTACTCTTCAAAATATCATCACCGTGCATAATAAAATAGGTTTTTGCTTGATTTCATAATATGTATTGTTATCATTTAATTTTCAATTCATTTCTTTAGGCACAAGGCCAAAGCTATGCCAATCAGCGAACTTAATCACTATTCTATGTGGCATATCCATTAAACAACAGGGGACTGAATGGATCAGTACTCCCGGGTAACCCCCTACTCTTCTCGAAAGGATGTGTACTGGGTTCTTTAAAGTGCACACGAACCAAATGCGTACACTGGGACTACGGTTTAAAGTCCTTATCCGAGAAGACTTGTTCCCCTACTGGAACCATTGGCGAATGAGCCGTTTGAACCAGCGCCAATGTTATAGATGAAGGTTACGGTGCCACTGAATTAACCGCTCAGCCAATCAAAACATATCCGATGATACTTTCCATAACCTCACAAAACTATTATCTTCTTAACACAAACTCTCCATTACTCCATGAAGTTCTATGAAAAAATTCCAGTATAATCAAAGATACTAGAAACACAAGATTGAATTCTGCAAACTGTATCACCAAATTGCATACATTTAATTGCATTGAATAAAGCGCTGTGTACAGCTGGAGATAAACAAACTTACGTCAATTGCATTTATTATAGAGAAATCAGTGGTAAATTGTCATTATTGGTGCCGCATAAACCTGGAGATGTGTAAAAGGTAAGACATATATCCACTTCACTTTTGCTATGCTAAAGTTCTATCTTGTTTTTCTAGTATTTTTGGTATAGTGTATGAACATCAAGTAAAATAATGCTTTGTATTATGTACCAAGTTTTCCTGGGGGAGAGGCTTGTGTCCACTCCCCCCCCCCCCAATTTTCCTTAGATATGCTAGTTTACGTAATACAGTACTGTACTATAACTCTATAATTCTAGGCTAAATATCTATACATCTGTACAGGTATTTACTTGGTATAAAGTACAATGATTGTATATCAAACAAAATAATGAAATAATAAAAACAAAATCCAAAATTAAAAAGTATATTTTAATGAATATTATTTATTTTATTATATTATATTTCCATGAGTTATTATAATTTTAGATAATTTTAGCATGATATAGTTTAAATACATTTTAAAGATGTTTATAAACTATGAATATATACAGGGTTACATCTCATCTATGTTACATAAATTAGTCCTATGATATTTTAAGATTGAAACAATAATTGTATATAATTAAATTATGGCATAATCTGTTAACATAAAGTATGCTAGAATAAAAAAAAAAACAAAAAAAAAAACAAAAGTAGTAAAGAAAAAAAGAATTCATTTAAATACATGCCACTAACATTGTGGATTGTAGATTTTTAAGTTGCTAGAATTTTAGTCAATACAGTACCAGTTGTACATTCATACCAAAAAAAAAAACGCCTGTTCCCCTAGTCGCCCACCCCTCAATGGAATTTTTTAAAGCAAAATAATTATGCTCAAGCAGTTACAATTACCTCATACCGCCTTATTTTGCCAGCTGGCGCCTCCTCATTTTATCGAGCCCCTATTTCACCTTCGTGGCCTCCCCCATCAGCCCCCTCCATTTCAATATTCCTAGATGCATCACTGAGAGAGTGTATTGCTACCACCTGATACATTGTGGCCTAAAAAACTGTTATTGGTACATCGTTACTAAGCTCTTCGCAGCCTTAGCAATGTCAAATGCACAGTTGATAACCTGTGAGGTGATGGCTTCTGTTTTGTTTCCCTCGATGTTCATGTTCTTGCATTCCATTTGTAAACGATTTGCGGTTGAGACAAGAAGCCTTACTGGAACGCGGACATTCTCATGCTTTGATTTCTAATTAAAAAAAATCATAAAGAAAAATTATAAAATACAAATATATATATAATAGTAATGGTCTTCCATTTTTATAGTGCATAATGCTGTGCAATGTCTCTATGCACTCTTTTACCCAGTGTCAAGACAAAAGAAAGAAAACAACAAGGAAACACAAGTAATAGAATTGTGAAAAAAGATTTAAGCCGTAATTTAAAAAGGACCAAAAGATAAAGATGACTTATGAAATTAGGTAAGTCTTTCCAAAACCTTGCTGCAACAGAGAAAGATCTATCACCATAGGTTTTCAACCAACCAGAATGAATTAAGAATGGTAGAACTAGACCAAATGTGGACCTGCTACATTGCACCCATTGCAATTGTTTATGTGCATGTGCACACAACATCAATATCAACTTGAATAAACATTAATTGCCATAAATATCATAATGCAATGGACAAATACTTATACTGTAATAATGCAACATAGCTTACTTCTGGAAACAGATCTACAGTTTCCTTCACAGCTGCAAATATTTTCTCTGAACATGGCACATAACTGAAAATAGAAGTAAAAAGTAACATTTCCATTATTTAAGCCTGCATCATAAACAATGGAAAATAACTACAAACCAAAGTAAATTACTAAAAATAGTAGTTACAGAATATAATAGAAAACTGTTCAACATGTAACACTAAACTGCTCATTCAAATAACACGATCAAACATGTTACCAACTTCCAATCAAAAACATCATAAAAATTCAGTTTTTATGGATTCATAGACTTTTACAACAAAAATTCTATTATTTATTAACACCTTTTGCTAACCACGCTAATGGTCTATGCAAGGATACAGAAATATTATTTATGCAGCTGTTTATAAACCTGTCTATGTCAAAGATCAAGTCACATAAACCAACAAATCACATGACCTATAATGATCGTTTTCTTAACCTTTATTTAATAATAGGTTTTGAAGATTCAATGGGGTTCTCCGATGGGTTTGACATACGACACTAAAGCTGGGCACTCACTGCATCGTACGACCGTCTGCCGATGAATCCCACTCTGCTCCCTGTAAGCGTTAGACGACGCGATGCCATCCGCTGATTGTCTGTGGCAGTCTGAACTGATCCTCATTAAAAACAATCCTGCGCGTGCCGTGGCATTGCGTTCTCCATAGAATCGTGTTGGTCAACGACCGTCGGATGCAGTGGGTGCCCGACTTAAGAGACAAAACTCTGAAGAAAGTGATACAAGTGATCTTCAATCTATACCTCAAACTTTACTTGTTCAACTTCCGAAAAGACTGTTTTACTCCTAAAGAACGAACATAGTGTGAAATGTACATTGACATAGCTTGCACACTTCTTCAGAGTTTGTCTCATACAGTCGAACTGAGGTTGGTGCAGTATTCGTTGAATTTATAACATGAAGACCGACTGTTAAGTACTAGTGATAATATTTATTCATTTATATATAGCGCCTATATTTGCAAATATGAAGCATTTTTGTCCATGGTCATTGGATTCTCATGTTTAAGTGTTGCTGCTGTAGTAATCACTGCAGGAATAGACAACCCCCCAGGTTCACATTATACTCCTGGCTGTTGAAAGCCAATTCAGAGAAAGTGCCTTACTCAATGACACAAGTGGAATGCACAGGAAGGAATTGAAGCCCTGACCTTCAGGTTGGGAAACCAAACCATCCTACAATAAAGATGCAGATGATACTCCAAGACGCATAAATGTTTGTTTGTGCGATGTAACCTTCGACATAGTCTTATGCAGTTGACACTACGAAAAGCATCCATCTTAAATTTACAAAATAATTTAGACAAGTAGTATATTTTGCTGTTGAATTTATTACCTCAAAACCCACTGTACATTTTTTTAAAGAGACATAAATACTTACTACTCTACTTGATTGTCTTTAGCAGCAGCAAGAAGCTCTTGAATCTTCTTTGTAATACTGCCCATCTGAGCAACAATCTCATCTTTTGTTGGCCCTTTCTCCTCAACTTGATCTGATGGCTCCTCTGACACTGGGGACAGGTCTGTGACTTGTGAGGTAGGGTTAGGAAGGGTAGCTGACGTAGGAGGTGTGACAGTTACGGATGGTGTATCATGACTGTAAAAGTGAGATATATGAATTGTATATTAGTAGAATAAAAAGCAAATATCAAAGTATCTTTAAAAGATTCCATCACTATTTCTAATAAATGAGAATCACATTGAAAAATATAACATTATCAAGTGCTAGCATCTATGATTATTTATACTGTTTATATTTCATTTATAATTTTTTGACTAAGTAAATTCAATCAATCAATCTCAATCAAAACCATTTCATTGCTGTTTTCAAAACCACCACCATTAACTAGATTACTATCATAATTGCTTTAGGTAATTTAACAAGTCATTTGAATGTATGTAGATCTATATATAGAACTAATGTTTTTTTTTTAAATGTACTCACTACTATTTCTATATTGGAAAATTAAATTGAATACAAAGTGTATCTGAATCACTGACACAACCATTGTTGTTGCTCAACAAATACATAAATACATCAATCAATCAATCCATCAATCAATCAATCAATCAATCAATTAGTCCCTAAGGCTTATTCCAGTCTATGTATTAGGAAAGAAAACCTCTTGTCTAACAATTATCCCAGTGGTTTCACATACCTGGATGCTTCTTGATTAGGTTGTGCATTATCATAGTCGCTTCCTGCTGTACTAGCTGGTCTGTCATTGGGCACCCCATCCTAAGCATTCAAATGAAACTTAATTATTAATAATTATAGATAAAATGTGCAAGTCAATAATTTTTAATCCTATTAAGGAAATAATATTTTGTGGTAATATTTGAAAAACTTTAAAAATTCAATTAAAACATCAAATTCCTTATTTAAAAAGACCAAATAAGTTATTAACTTCCAAAGAGACATGCACGGAGCATTTGAGAGACCTTCAAAGTCACCGAGTTTCCATGATAATTATCATGGAAACACAGAATAAAGTCGTAATAGGATGTGTTTCCAAAATAATTTATCTGGGAAACATGGAATTCCAAGATAAATTATCTCAGAAACATGTGTGTTACCAAGATAGCATATCTTGGTAAATTATCTCCATAACCGATGTTACCAAGATAGATAATCTCAGTAAGATGTGTTTCCAGATAATCTATCTTGGAATTTTGTGTTTCTGAGATATATTATCTCTTATCTCAGAAACAAAGAATTAGAAGATAGGTTATCACTTAAATACATGTTTCTGAAATAAGCTTTCTTGAAATTCCAATGTTTTGAAGATAAATTATATTTGTAACACACATTTCCGAGGTAATTATCTTGGAATTCCATTCTGAGATAAATTATATTGGAAACAGGTCTTATTTACGACTTTATTCATTGTTTCCATAATTATGGAAACTCACTTTAAAGCTTCATAGACATGCATAAAAACTAAAAATGACTTAAACTTGAGTTCATCACACAGCAGGGCTCAAGCATATCATACAGGTAACCTAGCTGTACTGAGGGCAAGATGCCAAGGAGTACTTTGATCAGGTAAATCTACAACAACCATCTTGGAAAGCAATAATACATAAATATGTATTTTTGCAACATCAACTGCATTGGAGTGAGTGCTCTGGTACTTCTAGAATAATTCTCTGGGTATTATGCAATCAAAAAAATCACTGAAATGCTAATTTTCATGTTTTACAATACCTAATGTTTTCTTCATTTTTTTATAATGGTGCCATAAGTGCTAAACAAAGTTGAAAATCCAATTAAAATCAGAGAAACATCAAGCATATAACAATTATCACATCATAAAAAAAATTTAAAAAAAATACAATTTCCCATAACTTACTTCTGAAGGATGACTGTCAATGGATGGAAGTGATGGTCTATTCTGCATGACCTCCTGTAACTCTTCTGTTGATGGAGTTTTACCTCCGACCTGTTTCCATGGTAGCTTGCTAGTGTACCGTGAATCATACATGGACATGGGTCGACCTGCTCCCTTGGGCGCTGAGCGTCCTAGTGACTCGGTCCCTTGCGGTGTCTTTTCCTCAGCCTGGACAACTGGTACCATACTTTGCTGCATACTTCTTAATTTGGAATTCTCCTCCATTAGATTTTGCACCTAGTGAGGAGATAAACACATTAGCCATGTTACAACGGCTGTTTGTATTTAGATAAGCAACACCAATGATATCCAGTCAAGCATCTACACAATAAGTTGACTCCGATAAATACATTGGTTGTACCAAGAAGTCACATGATTAGAACTGACCTGAAAAAAACTGTGCATTGCTGCTTGTTGTGAAACTCTTTGTCAACAGTATAAAAATATATGTAATTGATAAAAACCAATTTTTAAATGCTACGGCTGTATTTCAAAACATTTCTGCAAATAGCAATTGTATTTCACGCTGTTTATCAAATATCGATTCCATGATGACTAACACAGGTCAAACAACAGCTGTCTTGCATCAAGAACATGCAGATGATCTAAGTTAACTCTGCGGAGATGTAGAGTTAACTTTATAGATCATTGGACTTACTGATCTTTTATTTGGAGTTATTAACACCGTCAATAACAGCCAGTTAACACCAATATCATCAGATATACGCCTTCATCACAATGATCATTTGCCATTTAAATGTGACTACTGTATGGAAATTAATTTGAAGACCTGTATCATTAGAGCTGTGAACACTAGACTCCACATCAATCTATTAATAAACAGCTGCAAATACTTACCATTGACTGAAGCACATGAATTTCTTGGTTCATTTTTTTGTTCATCGTAAGTAGCTGCGTTACTCTGTTTTCTGATTCCGTTAGTTTGCTTTTGACCTCCAGATATTCTTCTAACGTAATTGGTCCATCTGATAGGTCAGCTGATCCTAAACTCTAATCAATAAGAAAATTCATATAGTATTTTAACATATATTGCAGCTGTCTAGATACCAATATGCATGACATGGTGTAATGAATGGATAAAAATAATAATGTAAGTTATTCAATCAATCATAAAGCGCCAACATCCACTGCAAAATACAATTTCTCAAAATATACCAAATGAGATTACTCTAATTCCTTTTAGCAAAATTGTAAGAAGCTTAAAATAATTGTATATAATATTTCAAAAGGCCTGTTTTTTTGAGTTTTTTTTCAAGCTTGAATGATTAAATCTAGGTTCATGAATTATAGCTGTGGTTATCATTTACCAACTAAAATGTATGGGGTAAGTATGATAGTTGATATGAGTTCTAAACTTAGGTCTGAGCAAATGTACAGTCTAAAAAAAAAAATTTGTTGGGTGACCAAACCTGATTTCTAAATGTCACTATGCCAATGCAACACAACAGATTTGTTTGTACTTTATATTGTCACTGTCACACAGAGGTGTTGTTTACCTGATTGTCATCTTTGACAATTTGATTGACAGGTGCGGTGGACTCAACTTGTGACTGATCAAGGTCCTGGTAATCATCCTCTGCAACAACATCGTAGATTGGATCACCATCGCTAATCACGCTAGGAATTCCTCTTCCATCGTTACTTGATTCTAACAAAATAAATAAAATTCAATAATAGTAATTATGAAAAACAAAAACATCTTAAATATTTCATTGTTTAATCACCTTACTTCCTTTCCTCCTCTTTGTTTATCTTCCATATCTCTCTGTGGCAACTTTTACTCTGAATAAATTTTTTTTCAAGAACATATAAACCAATTCATAAACACTACTTTTCAGCTTTTTACATGTATTCACTTATACTCAATGACTTCAATAATGTGAAATCTAATGATTATTAGTGGATGCTTGGTAGAATGTTTAACCCTTCGACAAGACATTTAATATATCTCGTTTCGCAAACCCATTGCTCACCCATAAAGATTATTTCAAATTTTAAAAAAATTATATTTTTGGCCTATGGCACAAATGTTACTGTGAAAAAAAATTGTTTCCTATATTAATATATTACACTTGTTTCTGCCCTGAAATCTTCCGAACATATCAATATTTTTTCCTTACAATTTAATAAATATAAACATTTATCATTCCAATTAATGAACTGTTTACATCGCCAAATCACAATATTTTATACGATCATATGATAGGATATCAAGCAAGGGCATGACATTGATCTGTCCTACCCCTATCTGTACCAGTAGATGATTTTGATGAAAGTGTTCCTTGTTGCCGCCTCTTTGCCTCTTTTAAGATGTCCACAATCAATGTTGCAAATTCTCTGGCGTTAAACCTGGCCAGTTTTTGTCGACCCTACAAATATAATATCAAAATGAAACATAAAAATCTAAAGGTAGTAAAACAAGAACTGTTATAATGAAGCTCTATATACAGTATGGCCAAATCATACATTGATCAACTTAAAGATGACACTGAATGCCCACTAAATGAACAGTGATGTCAGATAAACCTAAGTAGATCTAACAAGTCATTTCTGTCTGAGCATGCTCAACCTAAGTAGTATAGTAAGTAGTTAATATGCATAATTAATTCACATCATGAGGTAACATGACCAATATGACTATCAAGTTGTATTATTGTGACAAATATCTGTGTAATATAATGATCGGTGACCAAATAATCCCCCTTGTGAAAAATACTAGATTTCTTGGATTTAAAATTGATCAGGAATTGAACTTCAAAATTCATATAAAGGAAATAGGAAACTAAAATTTCAAAAAACATAGGTATTCTTTATCGTCTGTCTTTATATTTACCCTTACATATTCTCCGTAATATTTATTGTTCTCTTATTCTTCCGTTTATTAGCTATTGCAATATTGTGTGGGCCAATAACTACCCTTCTAACCTTGATAAAATTTATCTTCTTCAAAAGAAAGCTATCCGCCTTATTTCTGGTGCACCACGTTTAGCCCATACACATTGTTTATTTTCTGATCTCAATCTTTTAACTATTCACGACATCAACAAACTCCAGCAATTTATTTTTGTTTATGATTATATACATTCTAACCTTCCCTCAAATTGTTCCTGTAATTTTAAACCTAACTCTGAAATACATTCTTACAATACTAGGGCCTCACATGAACTTCATTTACCTCAACCAAAACTCACTCAAATGCAACACAATATCCGTTACAGCGGTACTAAATTATTTAACAATCTTCCTAACAATATAACACTGTCCTCCACAAGTAAACTTTTCTCATACAAACTTAAAAAATACCTTCTTTCAAATTATAATTAATTTAATACTTAGTCAGTCGTGTTTTTTATTGATTTATTTTTTACATCAATTAATTGTGCTTCCTCTATGTTTATATGTCTTTTTAGTTCTTCTTTATATATTTACTTATTACTTACTATAATTTATTATCTGGCTAGCCCATCACAAGTTTTAATTGGAATTTGTTTCCAATTAATTTTACTTACAGGGCACATGCCTCTTTCAATTTAAATTATATTTACTAAAATAGTGTATATACATATAATACCTTAAATATTTGTTAAAAATTATATATTTTTTATTGTTATATTGTGAAAGAAATAAATGTTGATTTGATTTGATTTGATTTGATGTGGATATGATGTCATATCACACCCATATATGGCAATTAACAGGAATATTTCACATAAAACTTTAAACAAACATGGTCTAACCAACAAAATCTCTATATTCTACACACCTGGTTTCTAGTAGATGAGAGTTCTGGGTTGAGTGGCAAGAATGGTATGGTTCGGTCACCTAGGACACCAGACGATTGTGTCTGCTTTGAGATCCAAACTGTGAAGTACAAAGTACAATAAGACTTATCAATCACTTATCAATAACATCCTACTACAACATTCAATAACAGTAATTGTACTAATACTTTTCAGGGAAGGATAAAAAGAATAGAATAAGTGAGTACCATGATTATAGTTATTACAATATTTGACTATTTATTATACTATTCCAGACTAACATAGCCCATACACTTCCAGATTGTAATGTAAATGATGATGATAATGATGATGAAAATAATAAAGATTATGATGACAAAAGCCATACTTATGAAAAGAAAGATAATGAAAAATATATAAGAATAATAATACAAACAAATATAAAAATTACTATGGTATGTGTAATCATTTTACAATAAATACCCTATTTATCCGAATAAATGCCCCAATTTGAATAAATGTCCCTATAGAGCCTCATTAAGAATAAAAGCCTACGCAGATTCAAGGAGGGACCCAGCTGGCCTGGGTCCCCCACTAAATTTGTCAATTTTTTTTTTTTAATTAAGAAAAAAGAAATTCAACTAAAATTTTGAGTCTAGGAGTGCCTTTTCCGGTCATCTATAGGTGCCATAATCATAAATTTTCTTACCTCAGCCCCACCATAGTTGGGGGTATAGACCCTCCACCTGTGATAGTCCCTCTCTGGGCCCCCTCTATCTCAAATTCCTGGATCCGTCACTGAAAGCCTCCCTCGATTAAACACAAACACGTTTATTTCTTGAGAATAATACTTGAACTAATGTACTGTACTGATGATGATATCAACTGAGGCTATATGAGTCTAAGCTTGTACAGTCATTGAAGATGATGCTGTTACTTACTATTATCAATTTCTCTCCTGTCTACTTCATCATAAACATCTGTAGCTAGTTCTTTAAATAAATGGTCCGAAAGCTAGGGAGTGAATAAGAAAAGATACATATTTGCTGCATGAATACAGTTGTCTGTGTTTATTCTTAAGCTTTATATGAAATACTCATATTTTAAACAAAGATTAATCAATGGAAATTTTCCCTTAACAAAGATTATAAAGTCAAGATGGTTCTTCTGCATGCTTTTGGCAAAACCAATCTTATTCATGTCTTCCTCAGACATCTTTCAAAAACAAAGTTTGCTAAACAAACAAAGAAATGGCTTTTCCTGTTTGAAGTTCTAATTCAGTAATTACATGTTCACTTGGTTTTTAGCACATAGAGACTCTCATATTTTGCGCGGTATAAATATAACATATAATTTAAAACGATTTGTTGTACTTACTGCTTGGAGTTTTCGCCTAGCAGATTCTGCAAGTTCTGATCTGTCCAGCGAGCTGTCTTTCATTTCAGGAATTAAGAAATGGGATGTTGTGTGATCTACATGACATGAATTAAACCATAGTCTCAATATATATTTCAATTACTATTATACAGTATTAATAAAAAATAATTTCCAACACACAAAGTACCATTAAGCATAAACTATAACTCTGTGTCACATTTATAGGTGCTATATAAAGGTATATTATTATTATTATTATTATTATTATTATTATTATTATTATTATTATTATTACAAAACAGGGTTACATGTGTATCATGGGAAGTTCTCAAGGATATGGTCTGGGGTTTGACACAAAACACTGATGTCACTATCTATGTTTAAGATATATTATTACCATATTCTATATCTGCAAGCCTGGGTGGAGTTACGGGTATACAAATTCCAGAAATATGCCTTCATAGTTTACATAGCTGAGTAGTGTTTAAATGTCAAAACTAAGATACAGGACTATTCAGACACAACTTAACACTGTAGATGCAACATTACCCTGATATGTGTAAAAAACAGAACCATCCAATAAGCTCTGTCCTGTCTATTATTTAGGTTTTATGTAACAAATACAGTACCTGTGTGATATGATGTAAATCACAATATATATTTGTCACTTGATAGCAAAGATACTAGAAACACAAGATAGAGCACTCGCATAGTAAAAATGAGGTGGAAATCAGGCCCGACGTAGGCGGCACCCTTCTTTTTAAACATGCAAGTTTTCTATACTTCGTGCCCGACGTACAGGGCGCCCTTCTGTTGCTAAGTATATCCAGACGCACACGGCGCCCTTCTTTTTCCACTAATGAAGGAAAACTTTGTCACTAGAGTGCGTCTGGCCATACGATTTTGCACTATATTGTTGTTTTCTATCTCTGCCAAGGAATTATGTATTCACCGTTTTCACTGTCTGGGTACAATTGTACAATTGTGTACAATTTTTTAATTGAGAATTGACAACAAAATACACGACGACTTGGTAACGAAAGTTTGGTTGAAGTTTTTTTAGATCCAGCCGTAAGAGGCGTCCCATTGTTTCTATTCCCACCATGCATTTCGGTGGAACACTTTTTTTGTGTGGAGAACTCTATCTTGTGTTTCTAGTATCTTTGCTTGATAGTGTAAAGTATTACACATGAATACTTTCGTGTGAACACATACAATGTCGAAAATAGTCTGAATCATAGAATTTGTCGATCAATAACCACTGCTATTTTAAAATGCATAAAAGCAAATATCTAATGTGCTAATGGGAAATGTTCCTTTGTAAATTATCCATTGTAAATTGTACATTACACTCAGCATGTTCTCTAAACAAAACCTTGCAATGCATTAACTTGTGATGCTGAGTAATAAGTCCTAATTAAGTAGATAATAATAATACTTTACCTGGTTTTTTCCCACATAGATAGAAGGCTAACCTGTCTGTGACCTCATATTCACATTCAACTAAACGCTTCGCTAACTCCATATGCCCTTCAGATCTGACAAAAATCAAATAGAGAAGCTATAGTAACAATCATGGAGAACGACATTGTAAGTAATTGGAGTGCAGGGTACAAGTAGCTATAAGAGGACATAAGGATTTTTCCCTAGTTAAAAAAAAAATATCTTCAGTGATATATAAAGTGCAAATATCACTGAGCCAGAGTAAAACATCAAAGGCGCTTTACATGTTCTGATGCTAGTTAAAAGGTGGATTTAAGTTTGATCTTGAAATTAGCACTAGTGGGTGGTTTGGCAATATGTTTAGGGGCGAGTTACAAAGAGTGGCAGCTGGAATTAAAATGATTTGTGTCTTTAGGAATTGATGGGATGTTTTTGTTGTATTGTAGACAGGTGAAGTTTTGTGCAGTAGGCATTTTATAAAACTAATTTTTATGGTTGGAGGAAGAAAGCAATTTTTCTCCAGACTATTGGCAACCCTTGGCCCATGCACTTAAATAAATAAAAATAATACAGTTAATAAAATAAATACATATATAATTTTCTGACTGGGTTTAATATTATGAAATAAATATTGTTAATGTAATATTATAAATACACAAATAATTCTCTAAATGGGTTTAATAATATAAAAATATATATTAATGGACATATACTTTTCAGTGATTACACTTTAAAGTAAATCATATATTAATTTCATAAATAACACAAGAGCGACCGCTCACTGGTCTGCACGTTCCTCCACACTTAAAGACGGTACAGGCGCAAGTTATTACATTGGGTTTTTTGGAAGAGCTAATAAGTTAAACATTTTTAAATAATTAGAATGTTTATTTCTACAAAAAAAAATATTATTTAATATTTTGTACAAAATCAAAATATCTTAAAATTGAAAAAAAATAAAAGTTCTTAAAAATTAGGGAAAAAAAATTGAATACCAAGATGAGATTCGAACTCACAACCTTAAATTCTTTAGAACACATCCTTAACAGACCGCGCCATCCATGTGATGTGCCCTATTAGTGGTAATGGCAGTAATGTACAGTCCTTGCTGAAACCCCTGGGGTCAAACTTAAAAAAGGGGGCGATGAACGTTTGTTGGCATTCTGAGGTCAGCGCCTTACGCGGACCCAATAGCTACAGAATACAAAGTTTATACTATGAGTTTAATAGGTAGTCAATGGGCAAAAGGATTATTGTAGAGTGTTAAGCATAATAGTTTGTCTAAATATACTTGCTATTGTTGGCAATAAGGTGGATGGTACAACTATTTCTCTTTGTTTCTGTTTGATACATGCCTGCCAGAATGGCTTACTATATCAATATTATGATTCAGTGGACAAATTTTATCTTTTCTTATTGAATTAATCTTATTTAGCATGGCTTCATAGCTGAGTAATTCCTTTCACACAGTGCCTACTATTGTCACTTCTGACTATTTGTTCATGACTTCTCATGCACCTCTTTAAAAAAAAGAGTAAAGGGTAGCCTTCCAAAGTGGATAACAAGTGATTTTCTAAGGCTTACTAAAGACCGAGATCATTATTATAAAAAAGCCCACAAATCAAATAACTCTAATGATTGGGAACAAGCTAAACATTTAAGAAATAAAGTAAATAATAGATACTTAAAACAAAAATACTGTTCTTCAGCTATTAATAATAATACTAATAATCCTAAAAAGATTTGGAAGACCATTCGTGAACTAATTCCTCAAAATAAACATAATATTGAAAAAATTTATAAAAACGGAGAATTTTCTAAGGATGATCATGAAACAGCAAATGAATTCAACAAGTTTTTTACATCCATAGGTAACTCTTTAGCGACACAGTTTTATGATAATCCGCCCTTCTTTATTGCTAACAATAATAATAACAGTATAATAACATTAACAGTAATATTCCTAATTCCCATAATAAAAATTTCACTTTTGACCTAATTGAACCTGTATTTATCTTAGATGAAATTTTAAAATTTTCCAACAATAAAGCTACGGTTTAGATGGTTTAGATACAAAATTGTTGAAGCTCGCTGCCCCTTTAATATGTGATTCACTGGCATATATTTTTAACCTATCTTTCTTTACCTACACATTCCCTTTGGAATGGAAACAGGCAAAGGTTACACCCATCTTCAAAGAAGGGGATCGTGCTGATACAAACAATTATCGACCTATTTCAGTATTGCTGTAAATCAGTAAAATCATTGAAAGAGCTGTCTATGAACAGTTGTATGGTTATCTTACGACTAATAACTTTTTAAACAATGCTCAATCAGGTTTTCGTAAAAACCATTCTACTGCTACAACACTTATTGATGTTTCCGATTACATTTTAGATAATATTAATGAAGGTAGAGTGACTGCTGCTATATTTGTTGACTTAAAAAAGGCTTTTGACACGGTGAATCACCAACTACTCATTAACAAGTTGCACCAATTTGGTCTTGATTCTATGTCTTTAAATTGGTTTAAATCCTATTTATCTGGTAGATCACAAATAGTCCAAATCAACTCAACATGCTCAGATGCTATGGACATTGATATTGGAATACCCCAGGGTTCAATACTAGGGCCTTTACTTTTCAATATCTATGTGAACTCCCTCCCTGATATAATTCAAGGTAAATGCGTAATGTACGCAGATGACACAACAATTCTCTGCAGCTCCTCTAATCCCACTTCAAAATGAACTTCAAGCAAACCTTAATTATATTAGTCAGTGGTTCAATAAAAATAAATTGACTTTAAATACACAAAAAACTAAATTTATGATATTTGGAACACCCCATGTGCTTCCTAAATTTTCAAATATTTCTCTTATCCATGGGAATATTAACATTGAAAAAGTAGATTGTTTTAAATATCTTGGCATGTACTTTGATTCCAATTTAACTTGGGCTACTCATATCGAAAATATTTCTTCAAAAGTTTCTAAAAGAATTGGTGTCATTCGCCGTGTCAAACAGTTCCTACCTTTCAACACAACTAAAATGTTAGCAAATGCACTTGTAATGCCTTTATTTGATTATTGCAGTTGCATTTGGTCTAACACTACAACTAATCTTTTAAATGAGCTCCAAATTCTCCAGAATAGGTTAGGAAGAATTATTCTTTCAGTCGACATTAAAACACCCATCAAGGATATAATGGATGATTTAGGATGGAATAGGTTAAATGATAGGTGGAAGGAACACCTATTATTACTCACTTTTAAGTGCCTGAAAGAAATTGCCCCATCCTACCTATGTAACAAATTCATTTTTAATCAAAATAGCCACTCTCAGTGCACTAGGAATAAATCTAACAACACCTTGATGGAGATAAAATGGAAACTCACTCAAGGCAAGAGAACATTCTTATNNNNGTATATTTTTTTTATGTTTGTTTTTGTTCTACTTTTTTGTTCATGTGATCCACTAGTGAGATCAGTGCTGCGTCACTGAAAGTGTTATCACGTTAAAGGCAGAATAAATAAATAAATACAGTTAAGCCAATTATATTCTACAAAAAGATACTAGAGATTTGATCACACTCTGATAAAAACAGGAATCAATTTATAGTATTGTGGTAAACACTTTCAAACACTGAAAGGTAGTTAAAATTGTAATCCCTTTCACAAGACAAAACACACACATATAATCCTCTACATATTCGAAGTCTAGATATTATGAGGCTTAGGGGGTGGTATTGTTTTTAATCATGTGGAAAAATCCAGTCATTTGACAGGGTATGAACCCATGAACCTGGAATTTTAAGGCAAGCACTTTAACCACCAATCTACAATGCAACTCATTAGAAATTAGAGCAGTCACTTCATACAGTGCATACCTCTGCCATTTGCCTGAATAACACACACTATGGGAAATTCCATTATTTTCTTTTGCTTGTGGGTAAATAGTCAGATTTCTGTGACCTTTGATATTTTTCTCTGCTATTTTCTTCCCAAAATTTAATCATCTCTTCCTTTTTAGATGTACCATTCCACTAAATTTTATGATGATTCACTTTTTTGCATTATCTTGCTAACAGACAGACAGCGGTGCATATTTAACCTCCTTGATGGAGATAATAATACCAAAAAAACTCACCTTGCAAGATCGGCAGATGTGAACCCATCCCCGTCTATTGCCCCTGGGTCTGCTCCATATGCAATCAGCAGTTCACATTGCAGCATCTGTCCTGCTTTACTTGCATGGTGTAAACATGTGTTTTTCTTTTCCTATGGGAACAATACACAAGGAAAACAAATGATATCTATAATATTTGTTCATAAGCAGGAAACGATATTTATAATATTTGTTTATAAGCAGGAATGAAGGATATTATACAGATACAGTATTTACTTGGTTGAGGAGCATAGTTTCCAGGTATTTGATAGGTTAAAAGCCAGGCAAGTACCAGCCATGCCCTTTAATGCCTACAATCTAATGGTATACCAAACAAATAATTTACTGGGTTTTAGTCTGGGTCATAGTTCAATATATAGCCCTTGATGATCTGGAGGCTAGTTGTACAGCCGTCAGATCACCTCAGCATATATTTTGAACTATGCCCTCAAACCAGTAAATATCTGTATAATATATTTTATTTAAATATGGAAAAAGAGAGAAAGTGATAGTCATATGAAGTACTGTAACAGTAATAGCATGGTTGAAATTATTATTCTCATTAAACAACAATAAATTTAGAAGTCATATGTACAGAGAAAAAGTAGTAGGCAGTGAGAGAAAGCTGTTTAAAAGTTAAGAAGTGCAGTACAAATATCAAAAACAGATAAGATGTAATTTCTAAGAAATTTGATAAATAATAAATAAGGTATTAACAATAACAATAATAAAAATTACTGTATAGTTATTCAAATTATTACCATTAACAGCATTATCCACAAAATTATTATTTTCAATCTTTACTATTATGAATATGAGCTGATTATGTATAAATATAGGCTGCTAGATATAAATTATGCCACATCATGGCATCCTTTATACTTGTCCTGCTATGTTTTTACCAAGGAAGACAATTTTCATGACTTTGTAATTATTTCCTTACAGTATAATTCATTCTAATTTTAATTCTGTTAATTGCATATTTTATGAGGACATCATCACCAACTTCTGACACTAGTGGTTCCCAGTCCCCTTTAGTCTCCCGAAAATTAGATGTCTCCGGCACTCCTGTTAACAAACAAAAATCTTCAGAAATTAACCTACCTTGTGTGAATTCAGAATGTTTGTATGATCTTACTACTATATTATTTATGCCTGTTTTTATGCATTGATTGGATAGGACAATCAACATCCAATCAAAATTAGGAATTGGTTTAAAATTGGTGTAAAAATAGCCACTTTTAGATTGCTTTTGACACATGTTGAAATCCATGTATGTATATCAGGACTTTTTTTAAATATAAATTGTGTTGTAAAGTTGGCAAATATCCAAGATGCCTAATATCAGAAGTTAAATATGTCAATGATTCATAGCCGGTTTGTCTACTATACAAGTATTAAAGTACTTTTTGTTACTTTGTTTTTATTATTGTGTAAAACAAATATAACAGTTCTGTAAACACTGTTGGACTAAAGATTCATTTATTGAGGGATAGTACTACAATATATAACACAATCTGCAATAGCAAGGGCAACAACAATATAGAAAGATGCAGTAGCTATAGTAACAATAGATGTAGTAGGGTACAAGTAGTAGTAGTAGTAGTAGTAGCAGCAACAATTTAACCAGCAGCAGCAGATAGCTGTAGCATTGTAGTAGTACAAATGTATAGTACTGTAGTAGTAGTAGCAGTAGTAGTACAACTAGTATTTAGTAGTAACAATAGTAGTAAAAATGGTAGTGTATTATACTGTGATTATGATAGCAACAGCAATCATGCATACTTACTGGATGTTGAAAGTTGGCCTCTGCCCCAAGTGACAGTAGTCGAAGACATGTTTCTAGATTGGAAGTTCTTACACTTGAATAAAGTTGCTGTTCACAAAAAAGAAACCACATACAGTAAATAATATCAAAATGTAAAAATATTGAATAATAAAATAATAACTAAAATTGTCATACTGTGTCATCTTTTGTAAAGTTTATTATTCTAGAAACTTTAAATATAATATTAAGTATATCTTATATAATATCATATTATTTTAGTTGTTGATTCTTAGCACCATACTTCAGTAGTGCAATCGTAGTATATCAAGAGACTACCGGAGCTCTTTCAACTGGTAGTGAACTGCTGCACCTATACTGTATTATGCACATTTAAATTAAGTTAATTATTTTTACTAATGTATTAACCTCATTAAATTAATTACCAGGCAATTTATGGGCCCTTGAACATAATACAATATATAATTGTTTATACTGTTTATTATTATTTATATAACAATGGAATGTTATATACAATGTGTTTTGAGCATGTTCAAACTATAACTAAAATAAAACATAAAAATTAGTTATATACTGTATTTAAATATTATATATGATGGATCTTCCAGCTTTTATATCACTATGTACTTTTATTTAACCATATGGGACTTGCTATGTCAAAACCAGCACCAAAACAAGTGAAAACTGACTTAAACAATGACAGGTTATACTGGAATCGACTTAATATTTCTAAAGTTATGAGTTAAAGTATTACAGCTTCTCTGTACTATAGTATACAATACTACCACATTCTTATGCTAATTTACTCAGTTTAACAATTAACAGCAGTACACTGGTTTTGGGATGGCAAGCCTCATAGTAATTTATGGAGGGCAACCCATCCAGCTGTATTCTAGAAGGTCAAATTAAGGAAATAATGTCAAGCTTTATATTACTGTAGTAATTGATTTATGTGGCTTAGAAATGGAGAAGTTTTTCAGTGGAGACAAAACAAATCCTGTATTTCACAGTATTTGAACCAGGGCTTTCAGTTAAAATGCAGGCATCCACCAGGCTACAGTACATTTCCACTATAGTAGTAGAACATCGTACCGTAAGTTGGGATTATAGAGTTTAGGGGTTATTTTCTGTGAAGAAATTTAACCCAGCTTACGAAAGCCTCTTTTCCACCAGTCAAATTTATTTTCGCGTATTGACAACGTCAGTTCGCTTCATGTGAGATTTATTTAAAATGAATATTCCATGGTTATTTGAGGACTAGTCAACGGTCATTGAATAATACTTTTTCATCTCTATAAGACATAAAAATCCGAAATGCAAAGCAGCGAAAAAAAATAACTTAGCCTAGGCAACCTGCACGTCAACAAGGAGCTGGTCCTTTAGTAGCCCTTGCTCAGTCAATAAAATGCCAGGTCCATTTGGTACTGCATTGGGCGAAGAAGCTTTGGAGAAATTACTGAATGAAAGTTATGCCGAATCAACAAAAAAGGCAATTAAATGTGCAGTTACACGTATGGAGTATTTTGCCAGCTTCACTGGTAATGATTTTAGTCTATTCTAGCCGAACCTGAACTTCAACAATTTCTAGGCCTAGCCTAGGCCGGTTTTATACTGGCCTTTGAAAGGAATATGTGTCCTTGTATTCGAAGAAGAGCATGCAGGCGATCTGGAGAGATACCGTACAGCTAGGTGTTGTATAAAACAAATAATGAATTCGGTACAAAATTGGATACTCTATTCAACTTGGTTACGTCTCCTTAAATAGAACATCCAGTCTTTCACCTCATGAAATATTCTACCCCACTGCACTCACAAACATTGACAGATCTTTTGTAGTTGCGGCCCCTCGTTTGTGGAACAGATTACCTCTTGAAATAAGATCAAGTTCGTCGACTGCTTTGTTCAAACGTGCTCTGAAAACACATCTATTTTTTGTTGCTCAAGGAAATTAATTTATTGTGAATTGATTTTTTTGTTTTGTTCTTTAATTTGTTTAGTTAGATGCCCACAAAACTGAGAACACCTGTGAGTTATGTACTAGCCGGTCTTTGCAACTTAAATTGCTGGTAAACGGAAGCAGTGATGTGGGTTATGGTCGTTTTTCTGGTAGCCTTTAGTTTAAAAGGATAAGCTTTTTCATGGTTTTCACAAGCGCCTTGAGCACTTTAGTGGAGATGTGCGCTTAATAAATCTTATTATTATTATTATTATTATTATTATAATAAAATTCAACAAGAACATGTGACATGCTAATAAATATGATCAGGATGACATCACATCATGACCATTAGGCATATCATGACTACTCTGTATATAAGCATACAACAGTTTTTTGTCAAAGAAAATTTGATTGTGTGGACAAAACATAAGTAAGGTACAGAAAAACAGTTTTTAGACTACTGTAGAGGTCTCATAGGATGTAAATACAACAACAACAGAGCAAGAAAGTACACTAGGCCACCTCACCTGGGATACAGTAAACCATAGTAATAATTTACATTTTTTTTTACACAATGTCAAAATCTATTTCTTGAATCACTAAATTCTATGTCACTGTAGACCAAATGAATTTCTCTGAACAGTATTTTATTAGATTACAGTGTTCGTGGGGAATGTGAACCAATTAAAATAGTTCTCAGGTAGATGTAAACAATACAATTACTTTATCACTTGGGATACAATAACCATGGAAATTATCAAAAAATCATTATCAAAAGCATGTTGAAGTCAATTGATTTAAACAGGTAATTAATGTTTATTACCTTCATTTCCTAAAGAGAACAATTGTAAGTTCTAAATTTAGTAGGAAACACATACTAAACAATTACCATCTATCACCGGGGATATGGTAACTACGGCAATGATAATGACCTACTACTCTGCATGCCACTGAAAGGGAATGTAGCTTTATTATTCAAACTTTTTAAACATGAATCAAGTGATCATGTTGTACTGTATATACATAAACATGTTGATACTCTTGATATATTTTTAATCAAAATTCGTTCAGACTGCCGCCGACAAACAGCAGATGACCTCACGTCGTCTAATGCTCATATAGAGCGGAGTAGTATTCGTTTTCCGATCGTATGACCGTTTACTACTAACTTTAATAGTTATAATAATCTGTTTACAGTCATTCTGTACCAGACTGGTCTCTCCACACTTATGTGTTTCAGGGTTTTTGGGATATGTTCATGCATGGTGCCATAGGGCTGAATATTTTATTTTCTATGTGTCTTCTCACTTTAGAGAGATCACTTAATTGGTTGATTTATCCATGAGACAGATATTTTTTTTTTTTTATGAATTTGAAAGTGTTACTAACTTTACTGAAATCTTTGGCTGATGCTCCATCTTCATCTTTAAGTCGATGTACAAAGTCCAATCTACCATACTTTGCCTTGATAAAGTCTGACCTTGCTGGGCTATAAATGTAATACAAACATACAGAATACAAGTTAAAATAATTATATATGAAGTATACCCATTTATTAGATTTGGATACACTCTGTACACTATAGGCCCGTTCATATCCAATTATGGCGAGATAATTTTAGTGGATGAGCTAGAAGATCTCGCCATAAGTTTGAGTATGACCGCTCAAGTATGGCGAGATGAAGGCCACAACTCGACTAAGCCCGTCGAGTAAATTTTTGTCGACTAACTTCTTAATCCAGTCTAAGCCAGTAAACAATTAAACAGCGGGTGGCCACAGGTCACGAATACACCAATCAAATTGAAGCAAAGTGACCTTCCATGCTTGCTGGTTAGCGCATTTTTTAGTTACTATCATAAACACCATTCAGAATTGACGCAGTCTCCCTGATCTGTGTACTTTAATTTGAACAAGTCTTATTTTGCAAATGATGGCCGAAAAGTCAGTAAAGAAACGCCATCTCTGGACGTATGCGCAGGAATGTGATTTAATAGATATCTGGAGGGAGCCAGAAATCGCCGAAAAAGTTGAAGATAAATTATACCGTCAGAAGGCTGGTGTCCACAAAAGGATAGCAGAGAGAATGCGGGACTTACAGTAGGCCACAATAGCATAACATCGGCAATTGTTGTGACAAAGTTGAAAAATCTAAGAGCATACCACAAGGCTGTGAGAGACGTTTTTATTCGTGGGACGGGCAAGAGGTCGGCCAATGTAATAAGGGTTGACCCGAAATCGGCATGCCCACACTACCACGCGCTAAACGAAATACTTGGGGGAAAA